CAGGGAGCCCGATGCGGGACTCGATCCCAGGACTCTGGGATCATGACCTGAGCCGAAGGCAGACGCTTAACCATCTGAGCCACCCAGGCGCCCTGTTTTGTTTTGTTTTTAAGATTTTATTTATTTCTTTGAGAGAGAGAGAGTGAGCAAAGAGAGAGAGATCAAAATCCAGGGGGAGAGGCAGAGGGAGAAGCAGACTCCCCACTAAGCAGGGAGCCCCATGCAGAGGATGCAGGCTCAATCCCAGGACCCTGAGATCATGACCTGAGCCAAAGGCAGACGCTTAACTGACTGAGCCACCCAGGCACCCCTCAAAAGAGGAAGAGGTTTTGGCAGGCTCCCTCCCCTGGAACAGGCACCTGAGTCTAAACTAAGACAGAATATTATTCTTTTATTCTAAGTCTCTGTCTAAGCCTCACTAGCATTGTTAGATTTTCCCTTTTGTAAAAACCATTTATTGGCTCCTTTCCCCTCAGCAATAATTTCACTTTTCTTTCATTAATCATCAATTTTAATTCAAACCTTTCTTCCTGAATAAGATCCTTCTGCTTTAGCCCCTGGGCTAGTCCATGTAGCTGGTAATGAGATGAAGTGTGTTTGGACTTAGCTTTCAGTCCATTCCAAATTTAGGGGATCAGATTGAATAAGTAGAGAAAATGGGGCTATCCTGTCCACTAGGCAACAAAACATTTGTACAGTTAGCCCCAACTTGGCAAAGTGGGGGAAGGGATAGTCTATCCCACCAAGCTCTTTGAAATTCTTGCGTCAGGTTCAAATTAGTAGATACTATCTTGTTTTACGTTATCAGCCTCGGGAGCCCTTAATTATATATCTAGGCCAGGAACTACCAGTCCAGTGCATTTGTTATGGACTGATAAGTTTGTGTCCATCCCCACCCCCCAAATTTATCTCAAAACCCTCCTGCAATGTGATGGTACTAGGAGGTGGAGCCTTTGGGAGGTGATTAGGATTAGATGAGGATTGTTCCCTCATAAATGGGATTAGTGCCCCTATAAAAGTCATGAGGCCTACTGTTGCTCTCTGCTCTGTGCCTTGTGAGGATTCGATGAGAAATCAGTGGTTTGCAAACTGAAAGAGGGCCCTCATTAGAACTCAATCATGCTGGCACTGTAATCTCTGACTTTCAGCCTCCAGAACTGTGAGATAAATAAATTTCTTTTTTCCCAGGCGCCCCAAGAGAAATAAATTTCTGTTGTACATAAGCCACCCAATCCGTGGTACTTTGTTTTAACAGCCCAAATGGACTAAGACAGCATTAAAAAAGAAAAATTGTCTGGGACGCCTGGGTGGCTCAGTTGGTTAAGCGTCTGCCTTTGGCTCAGGTCATGGTTTCAGGGTCCAGGGATCAAGCCCCGAGAGTCAGGCTCCCTGCTTAGTGGGGAGTCTGCTTCTCCCTCTGCCCTTCCTCCTGCTCGTGCTCTCTCTCTCTCTGAAATAAATAAAATCTTAAAAAAAAAAAGAAAATTGTCAAAACTACGAAAGACCTTTCTTTATGTTCCTCTATTATCCCCCACTCTCTTTTCCCTGCGTCAACTATAAAAGCCTAACAATTTGTTTAACTGAGACCCAACTTCAGTCTCCCTCATGTTAAGTTGCAAAACACAAGCTAGAGGTTTGTAGACCCATCCTTCAATCCATCTCACCCCTGCATCTTTTTTTTTTTTTTAATTTTTTATTTATTTATTTGGCAGAGAGAGAGATAGCGAGAGCAGGAACACAAGCAGGGGGAATGGGAGAGGGAGAAGCAGGCTTCTTGCCGAGCAGGGAGCCCGATGCGGGGCTCGATCCCAGGACCCCGGGATCATGACCTGAGCCGAAGGCAGATGCTTAATGACTGAGCCACCCAGGCGCCCTACCCCTGCATCTTTTTAAGTAGTTGTTGTGTTTAGTTCAATTCTAATTGTCTACTAATCGACTCCTTTGAGGGTGATAAGGAATATGATAAGCCCAGTCCAGTGACTGATGTTTCTTTGCCCATTGTTGTACCGTGTGGGCAGAGAGTGAGTGCTTTGATCTGAGGAAATGTAACTAACAGGGCCAAATGGTCACGATATTCTTGTTCCAGCTTTTCGGTAGTTTTAAAGACAGTGGCTTCAGTCCCTAGGTGTGCAAAACCCAACCCAGACTATGTATCAAGTTCTTTCAATATCCATCTAAGTTCCCCTGGAGCAATAGATAAAGAGTCAATATTATCTACTGGCCAGCTATGGGCTGGAGCTTCTCCCCTGGGAATACTACCAGAGGTTAATTGTAAATAGAAACATTATTAACAGTTTGCGTTTCAGTGAAGACCACTGGTACTTTGGTCACGCGGTCCATTGCTGCGCGGCTTGAATTCCCTAATGTCAACTCATTTCATGGACCCAGGTTGCCACTTCAAGAGATCAAGGGGCTCAGTCGTTAAGCGCCTGCCTTCGGCTCAGGTCATGATCCCAGGGTCCTGGGATGGAGCCCCGCATCGGGTTCCCCGCTCAGTGGGAAGCCTGCTTCTCCCTCTCCCACTCCCCCTGCTTGTCTCGCTGTGTCTCTCTCTGTCAAATAAATTTTTAAAATCTTAAAAAAAAAAAAAAGAGAGAGAGATCAAACTTGTTGATCCCTTGCATCAGGTTTCTTTGGTGAGCAGCAACATGTGTTTCACTCTTGTTTGCTTTGGAATTTACATAAAGATTTCCAAAGAGCAGTACCCCTTTTATCATCCACTGATTTTTGGCCCACTTGCTAGGCCAGATTGCAAATCCCTTGCTAACAGTCCAAGAGCCAGTAGACACTCAGAGAATAGGACTCCTATTTGTATCTAATTCTATCACTGCCAGGAATACTGCCTCTAAGTTAGCCCCCTGGACCAACTTCTTCTTTTCTTTCACAAGAATTTTGCCATCTACTGGACCCTGGGTGGGCCACTGCTTTCCATGACCCTGTGTTTTGGAACTGCTATCAGTGACCCAGGTTGGTTGCCTGATATCCTTGAGCAATCGGTTGAAATGAGGGACCCAATTCTGCAATAGCAGCAGGGAAGGCCTGGCTTAGTAACTCTAAAAGTTCTCATTTCACATCTCCAACTAGTGCTGGTCAAAGAGTCAATTAATATATTATTCTCTTTTCAATTTTACCCAGTAGGGTGAGAAATTTCTATTAAAAACCTTATCTGTACTAATTACATGTTAAAGTAAAAAAGATACCTCAATGACACACATTTTTAAAATCATACATTCTAAATTTTAACTACATTTTAATTTTTACCCTTTTATAGTGGCATTTCATATCCCTTAAATTAATTCTATCACCCTAAGGGGCTGATAAGCAAGCTTAACCCGTCTTGTACATTGTACTCCTGTATTCAATCGACCTAAAAGTTTATTTTTTACCCCCAGGCCATTTCATCCTGTCTTGGTGTTCATCTGATATACTAAGGCAGACCCTGGGGGAAAATCCAAGTGATAATCTTGAGCTGAATATTGTAAGAAACCAGAGCTCACAAAAAAACAATTGGATAAAACACTCTAGACAAGCATTTTGGAATTAGGGGTGAAGGTTGTATAGCCAGTTGACTCTTCATTAATTATACACTTAGATGGCTTATTGACAGGGAGGATTTGCAAAGATTGCTAAGTGTGTAATGATGTAACATTTGACCTTAGGCAATTGTGGGAACTGGTTAAATAGTTTATGTCTGGCTTTTGCTTCTGTGTCTGGTGCTGGGCCTGAAGCCGCCAGCATGGCAGGCAGTCCAGAGGGAAAAATGGACGTGAAGTAGGGGAGAGCGAAGATAAACTGGAACCCAGGAAGACAAGCTAGAACCTGCTTTGGTCCCTTACCACCTCTAAGCCTTTAACGTCAGCGATGCAGGTAACTTGCAAGAGAAGCTAGTATCCTTCATTATGAAGCTAAATGTGCAGCTGACTCAGGAGTCAGAGTTGGAGAAGCTAAAGGAGGAGATCCAGCAGGAGACAGAGTTGCTTTGGACCCCGCTGCTGCCGCACACCTCCAAAGTGAGCCAACAAATCACTGACAGTGTGTGTGAACTGCAATAGTAGGTGGTGTGCTGCATTGACCCTTCGAGTGTACAAAGAAGATGATAATGGGTGAGTTACATGGCTAGATGGAGAGTGAATTATGTCAAAATAAAACTTTTTTTTTTTTTAAGATGGCTCCTTTTTCACCTCTGCCTTCCAGATCTCACCCTCACCCAAAATGTCTCTTGTGGCCCAGGCTAACCTGTACCTATGTAAGGAAGAAAATTTCCGGGACTCAGTTCTTGTTTAACTAAGTTAATACACTACAAAACCACTGCAAATATTGTCTGTTAACTTATGTAAATTTTGTTTAAAAAGTAAACTTTGAAGCTGGGTGGAGAACCCACGTTCTAGCTCTAATGAAGTCATCACTGGATATAAGTAAAGGTTCTACCAATATCTTTGCAGATTAAAAAATGATATATTGGGACACCTGGGTGGTTCAGTTGGTTGGGCATCTGCCTTCGGCTCAGGTCGTGATCCCAGGGGCCTGGTATCGAGCCCCGCATCAGGCTCCTCACTCATCGGGGAGCCTGCTTCTCCCTCTCACTCTGCCTCTCCTCCTGCTTGTGCACTCTCTCTCACTCTGACAAATAAATAAATAAAATCTTAAAAAAAAATAAAAAAATAAAAAATGATAGGTTTATGTAAGAAACTATAGAACTAAATAACATTGTAAAGAGTTACGTTTTCTTGTCTCTAAGGAATAATATGAACTATTACTGTACTAAGAAACATTTTTTTTTAAGATTTTATTTATTTATTTGACAGAGGGAGACACAGCGAGAGAGGGAATACAAGCAGGGGGAGTGAGGGCGGGAGAAGCAGGCTTCCAGCCAAGCAGGGAGGCCGATGTGGTGCTCGACACCAGGCTGGGATCATGACCTGAGCTGAAGGCAGACGCTTAATGACTGAGCCACCCAGGTGCCCTGAAACATATATTTTTTTAAAAAGCAAATATAGCTTACTTCCTGGACATCTCTTGGATGTCAAAGCAAACTAAAACCATGACTATTCATATTCAGGTCATAGATGACGGATAACTCTGGTAGACATTAAGTAAGTATGATGATACTACGCTCGGAAATTAAGTAATGCATGAGTTTTGCATAGACATATTTCCCAATTAGAGATTAAAACTATTAAAAAGACGGGGGAAAATAGTCTTTTCGACAAGTAGTACTGGGACAACTGGGTCTCCACATGCAAATGAATGAAGTTGGACCCCTAGCTCATAATATATAAAAATTAATTCAAAAATGGGTCAGAGTCCTAAGAGCTAAAGCAATAAAACACATAGAAGGAAACATAGGGGTAAATTTTTATGACCTCAGATTAGGCAATAGTTTCTTAGGTATGATACCAAAACACAAGTGACAAAAGAAAAAAATACATAAACTGAATTTTATCAAAACTAAAAACTTTGAAGCCTTTCACTTCAAAGGACAAAGAAGTGTTGCTTCAAAGGACACTATCAAGAAAGTAAAAGGATAATCCACTGAATAAAAAAATACTTACAAGATATAACTGATAAGGGAGTTGAATCCAAAATATACAATGACTCTTAAAAATCAACAATAAAAAAACAATTTGATTAAAAAATGGGTGAAAGATATGAATAGACATTTCTCCAAGGAAAACATACAAATGGCCAATGAGTACATGCAAAGATGCCCCACGTAATTAGTCATTAGGGAAATGCAAATCAAAATCACAGTGACATACCACTTCATACCCAGTAAGATGGCTAAAAAACAAAAGGCAGTAACAAGTTGGTGAGAATGTAGAATATATGTGGAGTGCATGGAACTCTTACACATCGTTATTATGATTGTAAAATGGCATAACCACTTTGGAAGATAGTTTGATAATTATTCAAAATGCTGAACTTAGAGTTACCATATGCCCAAGCAATTCCACTGCTGGGCCAGAATAGGCAAATCCACAGAAACAGAAAGTATAGTAGGGGTTCCCAGCGGTCGGAAGAAGGAGGTGCATGGAAAGTGATTCTTACTGATTATGTGGTTTCTTGTTGCAGTGATGAAAATGTTCTGAGAGTAGACAGTACTTGTGGTTGCACGGATCTATGAATATACTAAAAACTATGAATTGTACACTTTAAAGGGGTGAATTTTATGGTGTATGAATCATATCTCAATAAAGCTATTATTTATTTTTTTAAACATTTTATTTATTTATTTGACACAGAGAGAGAGAGTAAGAGAGAGAGCGCACAAGCAGGAGGAGCGGCAGGCAGAGGGAGTGGGAGAAGCAGGCTCCCCGCTGAGCAGGGAGCCCTACTCAGGGCTCGATCCCAGGACCCTGGCATCATGGCCTGAACCAAAGGCAGATGCTTAACGACTGAGCCACCCAGGCACCCCAATAAAGCTATTATTTAAACAAATATTTAAAAGGAGCTCTTAGAGGAAATAGTAAATACTTGGAGGTTTAAATTTTATGTTTATACCTCTTGAAAGCTGCTTCACTAAAATCTTTAGACTTACTTGACCAAAGAGGGTATATAACAGCAAATAAATACATGAAAAGATGCTTAACACTATTAGATATTAGGGAAATACAAATTAATACCACAATTAGGTAACACTCCACACCTATGCCTAAAACTGAAAAGACTGACCATACCAATTATTGGTAAGGATAAGAAGGAATTAACTCTTACACGTTGCTGATGGGAATGTAAAATGGTACTTTGGCAGTTTGGCAGTTTCTTGAAAGTTAAATATGTGCCTTCCATATGACACAACCATTCCACTCCTAGGTATTTATATAAGAAACATGAAAGCATAAATGTCCCTAGTAGCTTTATTTTTAATAGCCCAAACTGAAAACCCAGAGAAGTTCATGGATAAACAAATTATGGTATACCGTACAATGGAATGTTACACAGTGATAAAAAAGAATGAACTATTGATACATGAAACAACAGGGATAAATCTCAAAATAAGCATGCTGAGTGAAAGAAGTTAGACAAAAAAGGAGTACATGTTGTGTGAATACATTTATATAAAAGTCTATAAAATGCAAAATAATCTAGGAAGTGATTGCTTGGGGAAGAGGGTCTAGAATGAAGAGGAAGGAGGGATTACAAAAGCAACACGTGGGTGTGATAAATTAGCTTTCTTGGTTGTGGTTGTGGTGCTAGCTTCATGGATGTATACATATGTTAATACTTATGATTATACATATGTTAATATAAGGTAATGTTTTTTAAAGCATCAAGGAAGCTCTTTATGCAGATAATTATTTTTTCTGGCAAATACATAAAAATTCATGTTTTCAGTGTAATGTACATATCTATGATATTTTATGCATGTATAGATTCTTTTTTTGCATGTGTAGATTCTTGTAACCACCACCACAGACAGGCTAAAAAACAATTCAACACCTGAAATAATTCCCTCCTGCTGCCCCTATGGCCCTTTTCGACTCCTAATCTTGGCAACCACTGATCTGTATGCATTATATTTGTTCCTATAGTTTTACTTTATTTATTTTTTTAAAATATTTTATTTATTTATTTGGCAGAGAGAG